CTCTGGGAGTCGAAGTCCACCCATTTCAAAGGGGCCAAGCTGGAGAAACCCTGTTCTACGGTGATGTATGTAATGACTGAAAAAGCTGTTGGATTATTGTTGCTTTTGTAACCCAATTTTTCTGTTGGGTGCCACCCCTGAGCTGTCATTCTCCAGATCTGTACTTTTACTGACTCACTGAAATGTCCTTTTATCCTTTTTTTTTTTTTCCACTTCCCCATCCTGTAATTTTGCATAACATGCAAAACAGTGAGCCAACGGTGAAGGGCCTGTCCTGTGCCCAGCGCTTATGGGATGTGACCCACTGTGAGCCAGTGATAGGCAAGAGAGGTGAAGAGGGGGGAGGGCTTCTGCGTACCCCCACAATGAGGGGGAAGGGGGAACCAAGTGATGGGTTGAGACCAGGAAGGGAGGGAGGGAGGGAGGAGGAGGAGGAGGAGGAGGAGAAGAAGAAGAAGAAGAAGAAGAAGAAGAAGAAGAAGAAGAAGAAGAAGAAGAAGAAGAAGAAGAAGAAGAAGAAGAAGAAGAAGAAGAAGAAGAAGAAGAACTGAGCAGTCCCTGGTGTTCTTGAGGGAGGGAGGGGGGAAGGAAGGAAGGAAGGAAGGAAGGAAGGAAGGAAGGAAGGAAGGAAGGAAGGAAGGACACCAATGGAGAAATATCACACACAGACACACACACACACACACACACATTTTATGACCTGGAATTTCTGACAGGCTGGAGAAACGACTAAGTTCTTAGGTGTGAAAAGATGGCAGCTGTTCCCTCCCCAGCCTTGATCCTGGGCTGGCGATAAGAGGGTCTCCCTGGAAACGAGGAGGGCCTGCCAGCCCTGGAGGAGGGCGTCTCCCCTGACCCCTGTCCCCAAGGCTGCTCCCTTGCACAAGAGCCAGACGTCTGCGGGACCCTCTGGCTGATAAGCAGCAGCCTGAGCCAGGACATCAGGGCTCTAGAAGTGCCCAGTGCTCAGGGTCACCCTGGGGTCTCCGGTCCTCCCACCAGGAGGAGTTCAGGATGTTCCAGAGGGAGAGGATGAGTCAGGGATTCCTGGGGGGAGGGAAAGGAGGAAGGAGGGAAGAGAAGGAGGGAGAGGAGAGGGGAGGGGAGGGGGAAAGAACAGAACAGAACAAGAGAGTTGGAAGGGACCTCGGAGGTCTTCTAGTCCAACCCCCTGCTCAGACAGGAGACCCTACGCCATTCCAGACAGGTCTAGTCTCTTAAAAGCCTCCAGTGTTGGAGCATTCACATCTTCTGGTGTCACGCAGTTCCACGGATGAGTTGTTCTCACTGTCAGGAAGTTTCTCCTTAGTTCTCCGTTGCTTCTCTCCTTGATGAGTCTCCATCCCTTGCTTCTTGTCCGGCCTTCAGGGGCTTTGGAGAACAGCTTGACCCCCTCTTCTCTGCTATCATGAGAGGGGAAGGAAGGAAGGAAGGAAGGAAGGAAGGAAGGAAGGAAGGAAGGAAGGAAGGAAGGAAGGAAGGAAGGAAGGAAGGAGCAGAAAGGAAGGGAAGGGAAGGGGAGGGAGGAAAGAGCAGATGGGAAGGAAAGAGAGGAAGATGCGGAAGGGAAGGGAAGGAAAAAGGAGGGGAGGAGAAGGAAGAGAGAGAGAGAGAGAAAGGAAGGAAAGGAAGGAGGGAGGGAAGGGAAGGCAGGAAGGGAGGAAGGAGCAGAAGGGATGGGAAGGGAGAGAGGAAGGAAGGAAGCAAGGAAGGGAGGGAGGGAGGGAAGAACAGAAAGAAAAGGAGGGGAAAGGAGGGAAGGGCACCAGACTGAAAAGGCCAGTGTGAATGGAACGGGGAGAAGCTGGACGGAAGCCAGATCAGCAGCCTTGGCACGTCAAGCCTAACTCGTCCTGGCACCCTTCCTGAGCCATTCAGGGCAGCATCAGCCCCTCACTTCTACCCTCCCTCTTCGCAAACAAAGCCTCCTGCCGCAAACCAGGACTTTTCAAGCATCCTCCTAAAGTGGACCCTCACCTCTATCCCCTCCCTCCCCAAAAAACACAACACTCTGGGCTGCAAAGACAGAGAGCTGCCCAGCAACGGAAGCCCCACCATCAACCCAGAAAACTTTCTTGGGGTGTGTGGGTGTGTGTCCGGCCTCCCTCTGGGCATTTTGGGTGGGTGGGGTGAGTGGGGGAGCCCCACCCACCCACCCACGGCCTTGGCAGAAGGCCCAGCTAGAGGCTAGGAAGGGAGAAGATGATGGACGGGGGGGGGGGGGCTGTAGAAAATTGGAGAAGAGAAATTTCGCTCCCCTCCCGTCATCGTCCTCAATTCCCAGGGTGAGGAAAATAAGGAAGAGCTGATTAAGGCTCCATAAATTAACTGCTGGGATAAGCTGGGGCAAAGGCAGCCTGGACTGAGTGGAACCTCCACGCGAAGGGGCAGTCTACCTCCGCTTAGCAGCTGTGGGCGAGCCCCTTTTTTCAGGGCATTTTCCCGGGCTGGCCGTGGAAAGGAAAGGCTGCCGGTCGCCAGCGTTGTTTTTCTGGGTGTTTTTATTTATTTATTTAAAGTTGGACTTTGTCTGTATTTTCAAATGTTAAAGAAGGCCTTCAGAAAGGAAGGGGGGGGGTCTCTCTGTTGTCCCGCTCTTAAACCCCGTTGTGCAAGCCGAGGCTATCTCTCTCGGAGGGAGCCGTGGGTGGGTGTGGGTCGACACGTCTGAGTTGCCACGGAAGCCCTGGGTGTGCTGGCTTTCGTTCACAGAGTGTGAGAACACGCCACCATGGGGGGGGGGGCTTCTTCAGAGACTGGCCCTGTTTGAGGAGATGCTGAAAAGGGAGGGAGGAAGAAAGGAAGGAAGGAAGGAAGGAAAGAAAGAAAAGGGAGAAAGGAGGTGGGAAGAAGGAAGGAAGGAAGGAAGGAAGGAAGGAAGGAAGGAAGGAAGGAAGGAAGGAAGGAAGGAAGGAAGGAAGGAAGGAAGGAAGGAAGGAAAAGGGAGGAAGAGAGGGAGGGTGGGAAAAGGAAGGAAGGGGGAGAAAGGAGGGATGGAGGGAGAGTGGGAAAAAGAAGAAAGGAAGGGAGAGGGGGAGGAAGACAGAAGAAGGGAAGCAGTGAGGGAGGAAAGAATGGAGGAAGGGAAAGCAGAAAGAAGAGAAGAAGGGAAGGAGGAAGGAAGGAAGGAAGGAAGGAAGGAAGGAAGGAAGGAAGGAAGGAAGGAAGGAAGGAAGGAAGGAAGGAAGGAAGGAAGGAAGGATCTTTAATGGCTTTCTCTTAGCCATTGCTACCACCAGCTTTCATTTTTCTGGCTACCTTTTCAAGCAGCTTCTTCCGGCTTTTGGCCCTTTGAGCTGACAACATTTTTAACTTGACAAATTCCATTTTCTTCCACGGAGAACCGATTCCCGTTGCCGCTTCACAATAATGCTTTTTTAAACGAGGCCTGATGACTTGATGACTAGTTTCGACAGAAGATTGTCGTCCTGCTCAGGGCGACAAAAGGACAAAGCAGCAGTGTGAAGTTTACGCTTCTGCTTTTTGCCATCTCGTGCCTTTTCTCTTGAGTCGGTTTTTAAATTAAAATAAAAATAAAAACGTTTCTTATCTTTTCATTTGCTGCTCGGGGAGGGGAGGGGAAAGGGCTCTCCTTTTTGGGACGGAGGCTTTTGGCCCCACCCGAAGCGACTGTTTCTTCCCACTCCATGAGGACTAGAAACTTAGCGAAGGGTGACAGGACGTTATCGTGAGTCTTCCCCGGCAAAGCCAGAGAACTTTTTAAGCAGCACCGTCTCCAAACTGCCACACCTTGTACTTTATTTTCTAGAGTTAATTTGGAAAACCCCAGAGCCTGGAAAGTGCCACTTGTTAAATGCACATTAAGGGCCTATTAAGTTCTTTTCAGTTAAGTCAACGGGCACCACTTCCTAATAGTAATTTACTAAGGCTAAACAATATGGGTGAAAAGCTAATGGCCTCTTTGTTGGCAGACAATCGGCAGCCTTGGAAATAAAACTGGCCTCTTTCAAATAACTTTTCTCAGACTCCTTCAAAGCTGGATCCCTCTCAATTTTGGCCTTCCTATCCCACTCAGAAATACAGCTAGTCCCTGACTTACGACGGTTCATTTAGTGTCCGAAGTTACGAAGCCACTCAAAAAATGCAACTTGCACCGTTTTTTCATTCTTAGCACCGTTGCACCATCCTTGGGGGTCAAAATTCGGGCGCTTGGCCATGGGTTTGCACTTATGACCGTCACTGATCATCAACTGCAGGGACTGGCTTCACCGCGGTGGCCGTAAAATGGGACAAAACTCAGCTAACAAATGTCTTGCTTAGCCACAGGAATGTTGGGCTCAAATGGGGTCGTAAAGTCGAGGACTAGGCTGTATCTCCGAGGATCCCGAGGTCACAGCCTCCATCCCTTCTGCTGAGCCAGCTCAAAACTTCCGCCTCTCGGCAAACAGTTAGAAAAATAAGATTTTAAGGTCTGTGTGCCCTGTGAGTATTGACGTACGTGCAACAGGCAAGGAACAAAATGTTTGCGGGGGGGGGGGATGTGGAAATACAGATTATAAGTAGACTTACAGCCGTTCGTTTAGTGACTGCTCAAAGTTACGACAGCACTGAAAAAAATGACTGAGGTAAGAAAGGCCATAAAATGGGGCGAAGCTGACTTAATAACTGTCTCACTTAGTGGCGGAAATTTTGGGCTCAGTAACAGTGGCGAGTGGAGGACGTTGTTAGCAACGGCGGTCGTAAGTCCAGGACCATCCCTACCCAGATTTTTGTGCTTCCATATTCGGATTTGTGGGGTGCTGCTTCAAGGGGACCGATGGAGCCCACTCCCTACACACACACACATACACACACAGGTACACAAACACGCAAAACCTAGACAAACACACACCACGCATATACGCACAAAAATGCACTCTATTCTGATGGAAACACCACCAAGAAAGCAGAAGAGTCAAATTGAGAAGCTGGTGTCAGATCTTCCTCCCTGGACCGGCCCCTGGGGTGTGGCCTGCCTCTTACCTGGACTCAGGTGCCTCTGTTATATACCTGCCCTCCCAGCCTTCGCTTTATAATATCCTGAAGCAAAGAGCAGCACCCCACTCCGGGAAGATTACTCCATTACTTAGAAACTGGATCATGGCTTGGATTCTCCTGCTGATAAACCTGGGATTGATCATCACAGGTGAGAGGCATGCAAAGGTAGAGGGGGTGGAAGGGGAGAGAATTGGAGAGAGGGGCTGCTGGGTGCCCGGGAGAGGAGTGGATCTCCCCCTCCTCACCCCCCAGGGAAAGTAGATCTAGGACACTAGATCCTTTCTCCCTGCTGTCCTTTTTTTGTCTGGATATTCCCTTGCTTGATTTTTCTTCGGTTTGCCTCGGGATCCCAGCGTGGGATCGTTCCAGATGGATGCAGAAAGATCTAGCACCACGAGGCAGGGCTGATCTTGAAGCTGGGGCGAGGGGTGGGTGGGTGGGTTGAGGAAGAGAAAATGGAGTGGGGGGGGGCGGCGAGGTGATCCATTTCAACAGCTGCCTCCAGCTTGGAAGATGACCTTTGTGCCTTTCTTGCGTGAAAAATTTTGCATTTTTGGCTGAAGTTTTCCCCGTCGTTTAGACGTGCTTTAAAGCTTTCCGGGTACTTGACACACCTTTGAAAGCAGCTAAAAATATATTCTAACCCCCCCCCCCTCCTTCTTGCCATCTCCCTCCCTCTCTCTTACACACCTTTACCTGTTCTGAACCGATCCACCTGTCTCTAATTGGGATATTTTGCGAAGATGGCCGGGTTTTGCAAATAACTTGGGGGCACCTTTTCTCCGATTTTCAGGGGTTTTTTTCCAAGAAAGATTCAAACACACACACCCACACACACACACACTCACTCACGGCCCTTTGCAAATAAGTCACCACTTTGGAGAACTTTTCCTGCTTTAGGATTATAGGTAAGCCCTCGGCTTAGACTGCAGTCAAGCCCAATACTTCTGCTGCTCAGCAAAACATTTGGTTGAATGAGTTTTGCCCCATTTGATGACTTTTCCTCGCCACGGTCATGAATTAAACCGTTTTAAGTTGAGGACTTGCAAGTTTTAAAAATCCATGTTTTTAAGGGGCTTCACAGACTCCAAGTGGGGAGCGTTTAGATCCGGTTGGGCAGAGTTGAGAAACTGTGTCCGGGGCCAAAAAAAAAAAAATTGAATTGAAGAAGAAGGGAACATCTTGAGCTTTGTAATTTTGGAGTGGGTTAATCAAATATGAAAATATCCAATTCCAGAGGCAAACTCTGCGGATGGAATGCAAGATAATTTTTCACGGACCCCGAGTCAGGAATCTGCTCTCTTCCCACACAATGTTCTCTTTTCCTTTTATCTGAATCCCTGGGCACAGGGTGATACCACCCGACTAATTAAAGATGAAAGCCAACGAGCGATCTTTTAGCATCCGAAGCAGCCCTGTGTGTCCAAATTTGGCTCTTTTTTAATTTTCGTTTCTTTGGGCTGGCACCCACAAGTAGGCGTTCTATGAAGGATCCTGGTCTGAGCTGGGCTAATGATTGAACAGAAAACAGACTAGGATACATCCGAATGTTGTTCGCGGGGACGCGGGGACACTGCAGCCATCATAAGTATGAATCAGCTGCCAAACACCCAAATTTTGACCTGGTGGTCCCGTGGACGCTGCGACCGTTCATGGGTCTGAAATATAGTTTGTTTATTTTTTTTTCAATTCTGTCACTAAAGGAATTGTTGTAAGTCAAGGACTGCCTGTATATCCCCTCTAGGTCTATATATCTGTTCATCTCATGCTTCTTCCAAACGAGAAAGGGCACAACTCACCCACGCAGCTACCGTATTGTCAATAAATTCCTCTTTGGCGGTTTATCCTGCCTTGTCTAGTCTCTCGGACTTCCAGACCAGTTAAAGGCAGTCAACGCTGCCAGCTCTATCTAAAGTGGGCACACCTTCCAAACAAAAACCAAAGGAGAATTAAATTCACCTCCCCTGTTTTTGCGTACAGAGAGTCCTCAATTTACAACGCCCCGTTTAGTTCAAAGTTAACAACGGCACGTGAAGCTTTTCTCACGATGCTTTTGCAGCATCTCCATGGTCATGTGAACAAAATTTGGATGCTTGGCAACTGACTCGTATTTATGACGGTTGCAGGGTCCCGAGGGGGGGGGTCCTGGGATTCCCCCTTTTGCGATGTTCTGACCAGCAAAATCAAGGGGGAATGCTGGATTTGCGTCACAACCGCACAAATTTGCTTCAAAACGGCAGGGTTTCCCTTACCGATGGTGGTGAGAAAAGTCGTAAGGACAATCTGTATACATATGTAGATGATATACAGGTAGAACTTTTAACAAATGAGGGATTATTACACAAAGCTCTAAAAAAAGGAAAGAATTAATATATACCTATATGTATGTCTCGCTTTTTTCGGTGCCGTTGTAACTTTGAACGGTCACTAAGTGGGGGACTAGCTGTAAGTGATTTGAAATAAAAAGGAAGAGTGTCTCAATAAATGGCATTTCTGAGAAGTGATTAAAATTTATCTTTACAGACTCTTCAGAAGATAGTACAACCGTAACGACCTCAATAGCATCTGGTTCTCCAGCTACAACGATCTCCACATCCTCCTTCTCTCTACCTAAAACCACACCAGACCCCCCATCTCCCACTGCAGAAACTGTAGAAACACCTTCAACTACAAGAACCCTGACAACATCCAGTGTTCCGTCTATAACCAAATTTACACCCGTGTCTTCCACAGGGGAGACCGATTTAACACATTCCCCTGGAAACACCACTACAACACCCAGTGTTCCACCTACAACCAAGTTGACATCCATGTCTCCCACAGGGGAGACCAATTTAACACCCTCCCCTGGAAACACCACCTCAATATCCAGTGTTCCACCTACAACCAAGTTGACGTCCATGTCTCTCACAGAGGAGACCAATTTAACACCCTCCCCTGGAAACACCACCTCAATATCCAGTGTTCCACCTACAACCAAGTTGACATCCATGTCTCTCACAGAGGAGACCAATTTAACACCCTCCCCTGGAAACACCACCTCAATATCCAGTGTTCCACCTACAACCAAGTTGACATCCATGTCTCTCACAGAGGAGACCAATTTAACACCCTCCCCTGGAAACACCACCTCAATATCCAGTGTTCCACCTACAACCAAGTTGACATCCATGTCTCTCACAGAGGAGACCGATTTAACACTCTCCCCTGGAAACACCACTGCAACATCCAGTGTTCCACCTACAACCAAGTTGACATCCATGTCTCCCACAGGGGAGACCGATTTAACACTCTCCCCTGGAAACACCACCACAACACCCAGTGTTCCACCTACAACTAAGTTGACATCCATGTCTCCCACAGGGGAGACCAATTTAACACCCTCCCCTGGAAACACCACCTCAATATCCAGTGTTCCACCTACAACCAAGTTGACGTCCATGTCTCTCACAGAGGAGACCAATTTAACACCCTCCCCTGGAAACACCACCTCAATATCCAGTGTTCCACCTACAACCAAGTTGACATCCATGTCTCTCACAGAGGAGACCAATTTAACACCCTCCCCTGGAAACACCACCTCAATATCCAGTGTTCCACCTACAACTAAGTTGACATCCATGTCTCCCACAGGGGAGACCGATTTAACACTCTCCCCTGGAAACACCACCGCAACATCCAGTGTTCCACCTACAACCAAGTTGACGTCCATGTCTCCCACAGAGGAGACCGATTTAACACTCTCCCCTGGAAACACCACCACAACACCCAGTGTTCCACCTACAATTAAGTTGACATCCATGTCTCCCACAGGGGAGACCAATTTAACACCCTCCCCTGGAAACACCCCCACAACACCCAGTGTTCCGCCTACAACCAAGTTGACATCCATGCCTCCCACAGTGAGGACCAATTCAACACCCTCCCCTGGAAACACCACCGCAACATCCAGTGGTCCACCTACAACCAAGTTGACGTCCATGTCTCCCACAGGGGAGACCGATTTAACACTCTCCCCTGGAAACACTACCGCAACATCCAGTGTTCCTCCTACAACCAAGTTGACATCCGTGCCTCCCACAGTGAGGACCAATTCAACACCCTCCCCTGGAAACACCGCCACAACACCCAGTGTTCCGCCTACCACCAAGCTGACAACCTCACCCACCACAGCGGGGCCCAAATCAACACCCTCATCTGAAAACAACCCAGCAGTATCCAGTGTTCAGCCTACAACCAAACAAACAACCTTGCTCTCCACAACAGGGGCCGTACCACCCGCCTCCCACTTGACCACCCTTGTAACAATCTCAACTCCACAACAACCAACTCCCAGTTTGTCACGTACAACGAAACCTCCTGCTGTTACAGTCATTTTCTACATCAGCTACCACATCAACAATAAAATATTCAATTCCAGCTTGCAGGACCCAAAGAGCAGTTATTTCATGGAACTGAATCACACAATCAGAATCATGGTGAGTGTTGCAAGGGGGGCGGAGGGAATCCCTGGTGTGGGCTGGACCATTTTTAGTCAGGTACTTTTTTTTGGGGGGGGGGGTGAAGCAGGTTCTTTCTTGGCACCCCAGGATGGGGTGAATTTTCAATCCAGCTATGGAAAGCGCATCCACCATCGTTGTAAGTGCTTGTTTAAAATTATGGGCCCCTAATTCGGCAGGGGAAAAGATAACGCCATCTTTGGTGACATTTCCACATGTTAAAGCTGGGGGTCTCTAAACCTGGAAACTTTAAAAATTCTCCCCTATTGCCTGGGGAATTCTGGGAGATGAAGTCCACCAGTCTTAAAGTTGCCAAGTTTGGCGACAAACTGGGTTTGAAATGGATCGGGTTTTTTTTTTTTCAGATTTTGTGCTTTCAGACACTCCCCATCCATCTCGATACCTGAAATGGCATCCTTAGGTCATTCAACTGTGATAACAGCTGTAGATTTGAGGAGAATGCGGGTTTTGTTTCAAATCGGGGTCACGTTTCTGGTCCTCATCGCTCCAAAATTAGTTTTGGATAAAGTGGGATGATATTGGCTCCCAAATGAAAAGGAAGCCTATTAATACTCTCATTTGCGGGTGGCAAATGAGAGTTTTGTTTGTAAAAATGCGCACAGCCTTGTGTTTTTCCTCTCCTGTGTTGGGCCAGTCCCTGAATCAATGCATCATTGTGCAAATTGAGAGGAGGGATGGGAAAGAAATTAAGTGTCTCTCAAAACTTGAGAACTTTTAAGATGGGTGGACTTCAGCACACAGTCAGTTCTGGGAGTTGACACCTCTTAAAGTTATAAGTTTGAGAAACACTAGATCATCATTTAAAAGTGGTGGAAAATAAACACAGCAATTGTATTTTGACATGTCTGTTTTTTCTTTCTTTCTTTCTTTCTTTCTTTCTTTCTTTCTTTTTCTTCCACCCTCCCTTTCTTTCTTTCTTTCTTTCTTTCTTTCTTTCTTTCTCTTTTTCTTTCTTTCTTTCTTTCTTTCTCTTTTTTCTTTCTTTTTTCCTTCCTTCCTCTTTCTTTCTTTCTTTCTTTCTTTCTTTTTCTTTCTTTCCTTCTTTCTTTCTCTTTTTTCTTTCTCTTTTTTCTCTTTCTCTTTTTTCTTTCTTTCTTTGTCTCTCTCTCTCTCTCTTCTCCCTCCCTCCCTCCCTCCCTCCCTCCCTCCCTCCCTCCCTTCCTTCCTTCCTTCCTTCCTTCCTTCCTCTTTCTTTTCACAGTATAACAACCTGTACAACTGTAGCACTTGCCAGTTCGGTTATATAGGCTACACCATTATCTCCTTCAGGTATGGAAACAAAATTAAACAGAAACCCTCAAAATTCAGGGGTCAAAAATCAAAGGCGGTTGCAGCCTTAAGAACCAGGGCACCTCAATCCCCCTCAGCGCCGTTCAATTACCTCCAAGGCATTGCATGCCAAAACACTATGAAAGCAGCCACCCAAAGAAGTTTATATATATATATATATATATATATATATATATATATATATATATATATATATATATATACACACACACACACACACACACACACACCAGGGTAAGCCCTGATTGTACCCCTTCCCCCCCCCAAAAAAAGTGCCTCTCTTTTAGCACCACTGCAAGCTTTGTGGTGCTACCCTTCTGCTTGTGCTGCTTTTGATTTTGCTGTGGGATTTTGTGGTGTTCTCACATTGTGTTCTGACTACTTTATCAGTAAACATGGTTGGGGAGGGGATAACTTTCCCCCCGTTACTTATTAGAACTCTGCTCCGTGGAAGGAGGGAAGGAAGAGAGAAAGAAAAACAGAAAGAAAGAAAGAAAGAAAGAAAGAAAGAAAGAAAGAGAGAAAGAAGAAAGAAAGGAAGGAAGGAAGGAAGAGAGAGAGAAAGAAAAAAGAAAGGAAGGGAGAGAGAAAGAAAAATAGAAAGAAAGAAAGAAAGAAAGATAGGAAAAGAGAGAGAAAGAAAGAAAGAAAGAAAGAAGAAAGGAAGGGAGAAAGAAAGAAAAGAAAAGAGAGAGAGAGAAAGAAAGAATGGAAGAAAGAAAGAAAGAGGGAGGGAGGGAGGAAGGAAGGAAGGAAGGAAGGAAAGAAGGAAGGAAAGAGTTATATCTGTTCATTTAGAGGAGAGATAGTGAGACAAACTAAGTTTGTTTTAATCAGAGTGGAAAGTTTCTTTCTTGGCTGTTTCCCCCTCTCTTTGATTTCTTGCATCTTCTGTTCTTCTTTTTAGCTTATATTATCTTTTTTTCTTCTTCCTTGCTTTCTTTCACCTTTCATTCTGCTTTTCTTTTTCTTTCGAGTTTGGCTTGTCTTTTCCCTTTCTTCTTTGCTTTCTTGCGGCTTTTATTCTTATTTTTTTTCATTTTTTCTTTTCCTCTTAGTTTATACGGCCTTTTTCTCTTTTTTCGTTCCGTCTTGCTTTCTTCCACCTTTCAGCTCCGCCCGTTTTTCTTTTCTTAGTTCGCGTTATCTTTCTTCTTTTTCCTTCCTCACCAGTTTTTATTCCGTTCCCCCCCTCTTTTTTCTTTTTCGTTTGTGTTCCCTTCTGCTATTGTCGCTGAAACCTCTTTAACAAAATTAAAAAAAAAAAAAAAGTGTGTGATTCAAACAGGAGAGAGGGCGGTTTGCCCTACCCGTCTCCTATTTTTTTTATTTAATTTTAATTTTATTTTGGGGTGAAGCACTTGTTCTATCCTTACAGTAAATGATTCGGGGGGGGGGGTTATTGGCTTGAGTTTCTTTAACCTCCGTCTTTTTTTTTTTTTTTTTTTTGAATCCACAGCGAAGGCTCCGTGGCTGTGGAATCACAATTAAATTTCCAAGGAACCAATATTAAATCAGAAAGTGAAGTGGAGAAAATTTTGAGAAACGCCAACATCAGCTCCACGGGGGGGCTACAGTTGAGCCAAGTGAAAGGTGAGGACAACGTTCCGAACAGGAAGATGCCTTGGGAATTTAAGCAAAATACAGATTTTGGTGACCGTTCAAAGTTGCAACAGCAAGGCGGAAACGGCGCTTCGGAAATTCTCGCTTCCCAAGCCACACAATCAAGTTTCTAGTCCTCAGGGCAGCCACAAGAGGATGCACATCCGAAGCCAGGCGGAGAATGTGCCGTTTTCTCTCACACAGGGATGGGCCACAGTTTTGCTGCTGGTGTCTCGCGCAATTAACCCCGACCTGGAGTTTGTTGTGAGCGGCAACGTGCTAACACAATTATCTTTAGATGGGGGAGTTTGGAGAGGGGGGGGGCGCTTTCTTCCCTGGCTTCGCAGTGAGTCCTCGACTTATAATGATTCGCTTAGCGGCTGTTCAAAGTCGCAACGGCACTGAAAAGAGGGACTCACGACTGTTTCCCACACACCTGCGACCGTCGCAGCGTCCCCACAGTCCACGTGATCGAAATTCGCACACTTGGCGATCACTACGGCTTTTAAATTAGTGCTACGCAGTCGTTAAGCGAATCCGGCTTCCCCATTGACGATTTTGCCTGTCAGAAGTCCGCAAAAGGGAGATCACTTGAGCCCGGGTGCGCTGTGACCATCACAAATATGACTCAGAATTTTGATCACATGGATGCAGCAACGGTCGTAAGGCTGAAAAAGTCGCTTTTTTCAGCGCGGTTGCAACTTAGGTCAGTGACCGAACTGTCGTAAGTCGAGGACTATCTGTAACTACAACCATCGGCCTATAGGATTTTCTATCAGGCCTCTGGGGATGTTTCCAGGCCGGCACACCAACCGTCCTGCACACTCGTAACAATTTTGAGGGACGATTGCTCGAAAAAGGCCGCGTGAGAACCGTAATTCTGTTTTTCTCATCTTCCCGCCCTACGCAAAACCTGATCTCTTTGCTTCCTTCCTTGCAGTGAGTTCCACCAAACCGACCGTTGCCACGGAGACGGTCCCAGGCTGGGGCATCGCTCTTCTCGTCCTGGTGTGCATCCTGGTCTTCGCCCTGCTCCTCGCCCTATTGTGGCTGGTGAGTTGTTGGGAGTGCGAGGTTTTGGGTGTCTCGCAAAATTCCCCCCCCCCGCAACGGTTGTTAAGTGTGAGAAAGCTGGAGAGGCCGAGCGGGGTGGTGTGTATGTAGGTGTTTCCTTGCGACAGAAAAGATGGAGAGAAAAGAGGGGTGACAGTACAGGCAGTCCTCGCTTTACGACCGCAACGGAGCCGAGTGTTTACGTGGCTCAGCGAGAAATGTGTTCAGCGGGTTTTGACCCTTTGTACGACTTTTCTGGGACACAGTTGTTAAACGAAGCACCGCAGGCGTTCAATTAGGAACACGGTTGTTAAGTGACTCCAGCTTTCCCCCCCCCCACCTCTTGACTTTGCATGTCAGGAGGTCGCCAAAGGGGATCCCATGACCTCAGGACGCTCCGACCGTCTTAAATATGAGTCAGTTGCCAATTTTGTTCACGTGGCCACGGGGATGCTGTGAGAAAAGCATCCCTAAGTCCTTTTTTTTCTGCGCCGTTGTTAAGTTCAGACGTCAAACGGTCACTAAATGAATGGTTGTAAGTGGAGGACGGCTCTCCGTGGCCCCCCCCCCAATTAATGGCTTTCCTCCTCCACTCTATCGCAGTTGGTCTTCTACTGTCGCCGGAAGCACCGGGGAAGCATGGAGCTGCTTAGTGGCCGGGATTCGTACCACCCCATGAACGAGTACCCCACGTACCAGACCCACGGACGCTACGCAGCTCCCAACCAGAAGCAAAACCCCTATGGAGAGGTGAGCGCCTTGCACAGCCCGGAACATCAGCTGGTAAATTCCCCGCCGGAGAGTTTTGCAGGCTGTGCTCTTGGGGTCTCGGAGGAGGGGTGCCTGGGGGCCACGCCTTCTGCACCCCGAGATACGGGGCGGAGGGTCCACTCACACCCCCGTGGGAAAGCGCAGGGGCAGCTGGGGTGGACCTTTGGAAAGGCAGGAGGAAAAATTTAGGGCATGTAAAGAGAAAGGAAAGCAGGAAGGGTTAAATCAGCTGTTGGTGGGCTAGCAAAACTTTTTCTCTTTCTTTCTTTCTTTCTTTCTTTCTTTCTTTCTTTCTTTCTTTCTTCTCTCTCTCTCTCCCTTCCTTCTTTTCTTTTCTTTTCTCTCTCCTTCCTCCCATTTCTTTCTTTCTTTCTCCTTTCTCCTTCCTTCCCTTTTCTTTCTTTCTTTCCTTCTTTCTTTTTCTTTCTTTCTTCTTTCTTTCTTCTCTCTCTCCCTTCCTTTTTTTCTTTTTTCTTTCTTTTTCTCTCCTTCCTCCCATTTCTTTCTTTCTCTTTCTCCTTCCTTCCCTTTTCTTTCTTTCTTTCTTTCTTTCTTTCTTCTCTCTCTCCCTTCCTTTTCTTTTTTCTTTCTCTCTCCTTCCTCCCGTTTCTTTCTTTCTCTTTCTCCTTTCTCCTTCCCTTTTCTTTCTTAATATTTTTCTTTCTGTTTCTTTCTTTCCCCTTCCTTCCTTCTCTTTTTCTTTCTCTCCTTCCCTTCCTTCCTTCCTTCCTTCCCTCCATCTCTTCCTTCCTTCTCTTTTTCTTTTTTCTTTCCCTTTCTTTCTTTTCTCCTTCCTTCCTTTTTCTCTTTCTTTTTTCTCCTTCCTTCCTTCTCTTCCTTCTTTTTCTTTCTCTCCTTTTTTCCTTCCTTCCTTCCCTCCCTTCCCTTTTCCCTTTCTTCTTTATCTAACTTGATTTCTCTTTATCTTTCCTCCTCCTCCTCCTCCTCCTCCTCCTCCTCCCCTTTTCTTCCCTCCCCTCCCTTCCCTCTGATCCTAGGGCTCCCTATAATGAAAGGGTGTGTGTGTGTGTGTGTGTGTGTGTGTGTGTGTGTGTGTGGCAATTTCTCAGTGAGCCTTCTAGACTTGGACCCTGGGACTTTCATGGCACCCCCTGCCCCAGGCTGAACTGATGCCCAGCCAAGTGGCACCCTCTCTCTCCTGGACCTGGCAGAGCCGGCCTGAGACCTCTGCAGCCGGCCAGCGGCAGAGGGCCCATCTAAGCCGAACTGGCCCCTTCCATGCCATTACGTGCTTGGCTGCACTGCGTAAACACTGCCAGTTGTGCAAATATCCAGCTCCACACCCGCCGGGGCCAGGAGGGGCTGGGGGGGGGAGCTTTTTATTCCGTTTTCTACCTCTCCAGATCTCACAGAGGGACTTTCCCAAACTGGAAGGAATTTGTTTGCCCTTGACTGTTGGGGGCGGAGTGGGGGGGAACACACGCAGGCCTTCAGCTGGCCCGGCTGCTCCCCACCCTCCCTCGTGACCGGGCTGTGTTTACACACCACACCGAAGCATCTGGAGGTTGCCTAAGCTTTTCAGCACAACCGTTGCCTTCCCATCCAGGGGCTGGGGGCAGGGGGGAGAGGAGGCAATCCTCTGCTTTTTCTCAGCTAGGAAAGCCCAGGCAGGTTTCTAGTCCTCATTAAGAAATTCAGAAAGGCCTTTGGGCTTTTTTTTTTTTTAAAGCCTCCTAGCAGCGGAGAAGTCCCTAGAGAAGAGATCAAAGTTGGACAAGGGGTAATTCATTCATTTTCAGGGGAAAATTAATTTTCTTAAATAGATGGGATGGGCTTCTTTGTCTTAAATGTTCCCTTCCTTTTCTTTCTTTCTTTCTTTTTTTCTTTCTTTCTTTCTTTCTTTTTCTTTTCTTTCTTTCTTTCTTTCTTTCATTTTTCTTCTTTCTTCTCCTTCTTCCAATGCTCCATCCCTTCTTCATCCTTCCTTCCTTTCTTCTCCTTCCTTCCTTCCTTTTTTCATTCTTTTCCTTCCTACTTTCTTCTCCCTCCCTCCCTTTTTCATCCCTCTCTCCCTCCATTTATTTCAACTCTCCCTCCCAATTCTTAGCCGAGCGGTGCTTGTGAACGGCAAGCAATGCAAAAGGAACCACGCCAATTCCCAAACCAACTTTGTTTTGTTCTCGTTAATAAATGACCCAATCACAACACAGACACAATTTCCGAAGGCCTTTTGCCATTCCCCAGCACCCTCCCTCCAAGTTACCTTTTTCCCACCTGCGATAAACTCCGCACGCGCACACACACACACACACAGAGAGAGAGAGCACACCGCTTCTCCACCCACAACATTCGAGCAATCTTCATAACACGCAAACTGGTATATTTGGTTTAGGTTATTATTTTTTTAAAAAAAAGGTATTTGACCCAAAGTCATTTTTTTTCTAGCCACTGGGAAACAGAAACCTTTGCAGCTTGTCCGGGCTGTTTAAACACGGCCACACCTTGCCAAAGAATTTGAGACATTTATTTATTTTTCATGTATTTATTTAATCCCTCCCTCTTAATTCGATAAAAATAGCCGCATCAGCCCTTTCTGTCACATTGGTGTTGGATCCATGGGAATTTTCTGCACTGTCTGCACGCAGCCGGGACCGAGCCAGGATTTCTAGAACAAGCCAGAAACAGTGGCCTTAAGCCAGCAATCGAGGCCCCCCCGAGTTTGCAAAACTTGACATTCGTGCAAAGGGCACAAAATCCACCAGGGAACTTCAATTCCCAGAATTCTTGGCGAGAGCCACGCCGAGTCGGGTCTGCGCTAGTGCGAAAGCGGGCTCCAGCCCCCCCTCAACTCAACCCGGGTTTAGAGTAATGTGTGAACCGTCAAATACCCAGATGGAGATTGAGGCTGGGGGAAGTGGGGGGAAAGCTTCAAATCGGTGGACCCTCCAATCTTCTCTTCTGCTTCCTCCTCAGGGACACCCCAAAAACGGGACGAAACCCTTCTCTTACATCAACCCTAGCATGGCCAACGACGAACTGTAGGGGGCGCATTTCCTACAGCCGGACTTCTTTGGAGGGGGGTTAAATAGGGGGAAAAAAGTTGAACTTTGGCATGTAAAGTTCAGCTTTTTGGACAAGCAAGCCCCCCTGTGAAAAAGCGGGGCAATTTTTTTAGGGGGGAGGTGTTTCCAGAGAGTTGCTCACTCCTCCCTTGACCGCAAGCAGAATTACGGATTGGAGGGGGTAAGGGAAGAGGAATTCGTTGCTCTTCCTACACCGAGAGCCATGCCAAGACACTGAGGACTAGAAGCTTGGAGCAGCATATTGACCTCGCTGGCTATTTTCCTTCAAACAAATCTCCAGGCCAGCGGGACTTCCTGCCACAAGACCTTGACAGGGAGTCAAAAACCAATGAACTCTTGACACGTTGACTATTTTGCTTTTTATTAATTTATGGCCAATTATTAATTTATGGGAAGTTTCGTAGCTGGAGAAAGCAACAACCCATCTCCGGAGAAGAGGAACTGAAGGCGGAAGATTTTCAGATGCAAAGAGGAAGGAGAGATCCTGGCCTCCCCGATCTCTTTCTTGCCTGGGGGGGGGGAAAAACGGGGTTCCTGAGAAGCCATTTTTGGAGACATGAGGGAACGGAATAAATTCAAATTTTAATTCTACCGCCTCTTTCTTTTGCACGTTTACCACCACCACCACCCCCCAAAATTTCCTGGTCGCCTGCCAAACCCTTTGTAAGTTCTTAATTTACAAAGAGGAAACAAAACACTCATCTCGCCAGACTTGCAGGACCCTGGAAGGGATCTTAGAGGTCATCTAGACCACCCCACTAGCCCTGCTCAAGGTTGGCTTTTTTTGTTTTGTTTTCTTCGCTTGTTCTTCCACCCGATATAGTTCTAGGAACCATTTAAGCAATACAAAGTGAAATAAGCAGACTGTTTGCCAACTGATTAGAGCATTTTTTAAAAAAAGAAGAGATTGGACAGCCATTTGTCTGAAATAGTTTAGGGTTTCCTGCCTAGATGACCTCCAAGGTCCCTTCCAGTTCTATTCTATTCTATTCTATTCTTCATTTCTCTATTCTATTCTATTCTATTCTATTCTATTCTTCATTTCTCTATTCTATTCTATTCTATTCTTCATTTCTCTATTCTATTCTATTCATTTCTCTATTCTATTCTTCATTTCTCTATTCTATTCTATTCTATTCTTATTAAATGTAATAAACAATCTTTGTTCCTAGCCTTGCGGAGACTACAAATAAAATTTCTGAAACCAAGGCAGTTTCGGCTTTTGTTTTTTCTCCAATCCTTGGAACCAGGCGCTGCCAGCACCCGGTGGGCAGAGAAAAATGAGGAAATGAAATTAAATGTTTCAATTAGCTCAGAAAAAAAAAATTGGAAAAGAGGGTTGGGAGGAGAGAAGGAACAAGGCTGGCCCGGCTTCAACTGCACCAAAAGTCAGCTAGTGCTGGCAGAGGGAGAGAAAAACCAAACAAATAAATTGAAATGAAAGAAATAAACTCGATTTTTGTGTTCCTGGTTTCCTGCGGTTCATGGGCCGAGCAGATTCGGTTGGGTAGTTCGCTCCTGGAGGCGTAGACTCAGCAGATGTTAAAGCCCGGAGGGGGATATTTCTGCAGAAACCAGACCTGGAGTCCCAAAGGCAGCAGCCCTGTTTGCTGCACAAATTTTAGGAAGTTCTCGGTTTACAACTGACCGCTGATCTTCAAACGGCCTGCTTCCCTTCTGCTCAATTTGCCCCACCCAAACGGTGGAAACCGCAAGGAACAAAGCCCAGATTAAGCTGTGGTTTAGCCTAGATTGAGTAACAAGGAAACGGATTGAAAGGCCGGAGGATGAGTGAACATCATCGGCCCCGCGCTGGGTTTCCTAACGGGGCACTCCCCGTTCGAGTTTGACGCCTCTGAGACATCAAAAGTCAAAAGATGTGACTTTTGTGGGTTTTGCACCGCTGGTAGTGAATGGCTAGCAAATAATGTGGTGCACTTGAGTGTGTCAGGATCCCCTTTCTCCCTCTCCGCTGGCTCCCATTACAAAGAGAATCAGGTAGGCAGGTATACCTGAGTGGCAGGTGTGTCTGCTCCTTGGAATTTCTTAAAGAGGGAAAAAAAAGAGAATTTATTCTGTAGAATCTTAGGGCCAAGGCGCCCTCTAGTGGCTTAGATTGGAACAACAACTCTGTTCAAGCTTTTAAAAACCTCAATCAAAGCCCAACAGTTTAAAACTTTATTCATTCATTTATTTTTTAAGTTAACAATCTGGCCAAAGACATGGAAAAAGGAGGGGGAATGTCGCAAGGCTCCTACCCCATCAGACTCTCTGCCCATCCCCTAGGTCCGTTTCCAACCTAAGTCAGGGACTGCACAAGAGTTGCGAGCCAGCTCTTCGTGATGGTGTGGTTTCTCTCCTTGAAAAGCAAGATTCTAGTCCTCAGGGTGGACTCCAAAGTGCAGAAGGGGGCTGATTAAAATAAATTAAAAGAAACATTGGGGCTGGGGGGAGGATGGAGAGATAATCCACCCAGCCCAATTTGGTGAAGGCTCTACTGAGCCAACCTAGAGGGGTTTGTCATTGTGTTGTTGGATTTCGAACTCACAACTCACAAGCCATGCTTGGAGAGGAGGCTGTTTTGCCCAGTTTCCTTGCTAAAAGCTGCCTCAGGGTCTGAGAACGATCGCGGGCGATTTCACGGACTGCCGCCAAGCCCCCTAAAATTTGCCCTTTTAAAGTGTTTATTTCCTTAAACCCCCCCCCTTTCTTTTCGTGACCATAACACTGACACACAATCCAGCATTGCTCTCGTCACATGCTGGGAAGAACCGAGACAAAAAAAGCAAATAAAAATCCGGGCCCAAGAAAGAAGTTTGTTGAAAACAGGGTAAAAGAGGGGGGGGGGAGAGTTGTAAGGGATATATTCTACCAGGCACCATATTTTCACAAACACCTCGACACTTACAAAACAGCCCCTTTTTCAGAAACACAATCAAATCACCACCTTGTGTGTTTAAGCCATTACCTGCTCTGCACCTGTTGAACTTTCATTCAGGCTGCTTAGGAATTGGGAAGGATCGATCAATGTCAAATAACAGATAGTCCTTGATTTACAGCCACAATTGCAACCAGAATCATGGTTGTTATGAGTCGTATCTTTTGGGGGGGGGGCTGGGTCGTTAAGCGAGTCAGTGTTGTCCTTAAGCGAAACCAGATTCCCCCATGGATCTGGGTTATTGGAAGCCACTTGGGAAGGTCGCCGATAGGGATCACACGATCCCGGGGACCCGCAACCACTGTAAATGCAGGCACCCAAATTTTTATCACATAATCCCGGGGGACACTTTGGGGCTCCATTGCAGCCGTTAAGTCGAGGACTATCTGTATATTTTGACCCGGTTCTATTAAAAAAAAAACCCCAATTCTAATAACATGTCAGAATCTCCCACTTGAACTGCCTAAAAAGCAAAATGGGAAGTTGCCAAAATTAGGAAATGAGTTAGGGAGCGATTCACACAGAAGCGGTGAATTTGAGGAGCGTGACGAGGGACTTTAAAAAAGAAAAGAGAGAGAGAGAGAGATTAATTTAAAATTATGACTACATCAGAAGTACAGTGGACCGACTCTCCTACGGGTCAAGAGACAGAGGTCCAGAGACGAGGGCTCAGGATGGCCTTTTACAATCTTTTTTTATCTTTTTCAACACCAAAAGGAGGAAAGAGGCTATTCCAAACTCAGCCATGCTCCAAACAAGAATTTGGGGGTGGGGGGGTGTCATATTTGTCTTTTCTCAACTGAGATTCCTGCCCCGGACAGGGGCAAAAGGAGGACGGGGGGAAATCTGGATTTCCCCCGGATATTTAGGGGGTATACTGAAGAAGATAAGAAGAAAACAAAGAGATGGATATTTTAATATTTTTAAAAAATCCCTCTGTGGGGTAGCTGTGGGGTGGAAGCTGCTGTCAGTCCCCACAGCTCGGGTGGGTTTTTTTTTTTAAAGGGGGTGCTGGCTGGGAAAAGGGCACCCCCACCATCAGAATGAAAGACTCTTTTATCTGTTGGAAGTTTGCCTATCCACTAGAGGGCAGCATTGCTCAACAGATGCTCTGCCCTGTGCCTATCCCCGAAACCCTCTCTGCTCTATCGCTAGAGATATTTTTTCCATTTTTTTCCCCCCGCAAGCAGGGGTTGGAGAGGCTATCTGGACCACCCTTCTGAACCACCCCTCCCTCAAGGCTCTTCTGCTGGTTGATCCTCTCCCCGAACATGCTCAGAATCGGCCAACGGCAAGCTCAGTCCAGCTTGGAGAAGCCGCTGATGGTGACTTTCCGTTCCTGACGGTTGACCACCAGCTCTTGAAGGTGCAAGGCACCGCCCCCGATGAAGCAGAAGGCTGGGCAGACAGGACCCGAGCAGTCTACCCCACACTCCCAAAGGCTGCGGAAGGAGACGGCGTCGAAGAACGCCACTTTGCTGTGCTCGTAGTCGAGACAGATGCCGACGCGAGGAGGCAACGGCACGGTGGAGTTGCCGGGATCCCGCGAGGTCAGAGACACCCCGTGGGAGAGGAGGATCTTGCCCATGCCGATGGTCAGGAAGGCGAAGGGCGGAGAGGACTCCAGCGTGGTGTCTTCAGCCCCGCTGTCGTGGCCGCTATCCGGGTCGTACCTTAGCCAGGAAAACAACAACAACAAATACAGGTAGAAGAGAGATTCTTGGAAGGATAGCAAAATCTCCGTGAATTTTGACAGCCCCCCCCCAAAAAAGAGTAAAACCAATTACGGGTTAGTTAGTCCTTGACTTACGAGCCCAAACTTTCTCTTGCTAAACGAGACGGTTGTTAAGCAAGGCCTGACCCATTTTACGACCTCAAATGCCACGGTTATTAAGTTGCATTGCTGCAGCTGCTCAGTTAGTAACACTGTTATGAGGTGAAACCGGCTTCCCCATTGATTTTGCTTGTCAGAAGGTTGCAAAAGGGGATCACCTGACCCCGGGAGTCTGCAACTGTCATATGTACAAGCCAGTTTCCAAGTGTCTGAATTTTGATCAGGTGATCCCAATGGTCGTAAATGTGACAAACGGGCACTTTTTCAATCCAAATGGTCGCTAAATGAATTATTGTAAGTTGGGGGCTACATGTGGATCACAATTCTCTCTCCAAATTTCAATGGGGCCTGGAGATGCCACTCCAAAAATGCCGGTGTTCAGAGGAACTGGCCGTCCCTCATCTTTGGGGTAAAATGTTACCTCAATAAACTCCCTTTAAACGCCACTTTGCAAATGGAGCCCCCAATTTTTAGTCTCATCTCTGTCACAGTTCGACAACCCGCCCGTTTAATTTTCAACTCCTTCACCCAAAATGTGGTACCTTGACTCTACACTTTCTGGATTAAAGTTTTCTGTAAATTGGCCATTTTAAGCTGGCTGGGGGATTCTGGGAAGTGAAGTCTACCTGTCTTAAAAGTTGCCGAGTTGGAGAAACACCATTCTAGATCTTTGGAGATGTGACTTGAACAAGTTCTAAACTTAATTCCTTCTCCGTAGTTCCAAGCGATTGCTCACCTGGGGCTCACCACGTCTTGGGGCACCTGGAACCATTCCTGCAGCTTGCTCTCCAGCCCCACGCCCACCTTGACCAGATAGGAGCTGGGATCCACGCAACAGGCCCAGTAGCTGCGTCCTTGGGTGACCGCCACGTCGCCGATCACCAGGTCCACGGAAAGGTGGCAGCTGGTCATCAAACGCTCGGCGGCAAACAGCATGGGAAGACCAGGGACACTGCGGACCGCTCGCTGGTCCTTGCTGATGGCCAAGCGCTCTCGGTTGAAGCCCCACCGATTGTCCAGAAAGAAATTCAACACTTTGAAGAGAAAAGGGGACGGGCGAAGAAACCGAGGAACAAAGAATTAGAAAGAGCCTAAACCATAGGAGAACAGGGGCCGGCAGAATTAGGAAGAGCTTAAACCATATGAGTACTGGAGCCGGGAGAATTAGGAAGAGCCTAAATCGTAGGAGAACAGGAATTGGGAGAATTAGGAAGAGCCTAAATCATAGGAGAACTTCAATGTAGAAAGGACAAAGTACAGGAGAAACATCTGGAACAGCTGGGAAGACAATACCAACACCACAGGGGATGCAACGCAAATGTTTCTCCTGTGCTTTGTCCTTTCTACGTTGGAGTTCTTCTTAAATAGGGAGGAAAAGGAGAGAAGTGTTTACCAGGTGCAGGAGGCGTACGCAAGTAGATATCCTCGCTGTAGTCTCCAAAGCCAGCTTTGTTGTATCCTCGGACGCGCAGCACGTAAACGCTATCGGTGTCCACGTACTCCACAATGGCGCTCGTGCCTCGCACTTCTTCCCGTCGCTGCCACAGTTTGAGCGCCTTGCCCTTGGGCTCGGCCCGCCGGAACTCCACCGTGTAGTGCCAGGCGGCTGGAGAGTGCTGCGGCAGGCGCCAGCAGAGGAAAATCTGGTCATAGGCATAGGTCCGCTGCGTGTCAATCACAGGAGCCTCCGGTGCTGCAACGGGAGAGGAGAGAGGGGAAGGCGCGCGACGTCAGACCGCTGCAGCACGGCGTAGCCGAACGCTCTCCGGACTGACCGCAGACGACCAGTACGAGGTGCCGAAGGCGGAGAAGAGACGGGCAAGAATCGGGGAGAGAGGCAAGCTGCTGAGAAGAATCCGGGGGGCGCAAGAGAGACTGAGTGCAAGTCGGGGGGAAATCAGGGGAAGAGGTGAAAGAGGGAAGAGAGACGGGGATTGAGAGAAACAAGAGAATGGTGCAAGGAGACGGGAGGAGAGATGCTAAAAAGGAAAGGAATCTGATTTGAGAGACCATCAAAACTAATCAAAATTAAGCTGTTGGCTCCAACACGGTTCCCATAGGGAACCAGGATTCCCACCATCTACCGGACACCCTGTTAGCTCTTGTTTTGTTCCAAATACATTCATTCCAGAGCTAAGGGTAGTCCTCGGCTTACAACAGTTCATGTAGTGACCGTTGGAAGTTATAACGGCACTGAAAAGAATGGTTAACTACCATTTTTCATGCATATATATTTGATGCTTTATTTAAACTAAATTTGTCTATTGCACGACCTCTGTAGGTGCCGTACGCTAAACAAATGAACAACAAATAAGCAGTGAATTACAGGAAATCAGCCAGGTGCTTTTAGAAGCAACTGGTGATGATTAGAAGTAAGCTTGTTTTTGTATTTAGGGGTGCCTTTGCTCTGCCCTCTGATTATATCTGCAAATAACTAAAGGCTTTGGAACTCACCCCGTAAAGAAGGAACAGAGGCTCTGTTGAACTACAAGTCCCATCATGCAACCCTAGCATGGCCCTGCCTGCCAAGAGAATAATGGGTACTGCTGGCCTACATTTATAAAGAGCATCAGGTTGAGAAAAGCAAGTCTTGAAGACATCAATATTAAAGACGCTATAGCAAAAAAAAGACATGGGGTTTTTTTTTGTGCCAGCCACCTGTTTGTGCCCACTCCCTGATACTCCATTCCATCTTTTTTGATCCTATCTAACCTCGCTTTGCCTTCTTTTGGGGACTCCACAGTCAGTTGTCAAGATCTCTTAAGCGATTAACTGGCCTCCTCCATAAACACACCTTCCATTCTAACCCATTTCCCAGCCAGGTTTAGTCCAAACGATCTGGGATACCAAAATTTCAACTGAATAAGCCATCTTATTTGCAAAACTTAGGGAGAGGCCACCGAAGCAGAGAGGTCTCTAGAACGCTCTCTGTCACCCACTCTTGGTGCAAATGAGCCTTCCAGCATTCTAGTCCTCAAGGGAAGCTCTTTCAGCCTTCAGGAGGACTAGAATGCTGTATTTCAACCAGGGGTTTGAAATAATAGATCAGAAGGTCCCCAAACCAGGTCAGAGGATGGCAGAGGAGGCAGGACGGATGCATGGAAGGGCAGGAGGCGGTCCATGGGGCTGGGGAGAAGAAAAAAGAAGGGGGAAGACTCAGGGAAGGATGGGAACAGTGGAGTGGGATGTGACTTGCCTCAGTTTACCGCGGCGATGCCTCAGCAGCAGACACAGCCTATAAACAAAGAGAGGTAAAGCAAAGGGGTCAACAGCCACGCAGCTGGCAGGACCGGGCTGTGGGGTGGGCAGCCTTCAACGCGGCGGGAAAACCGAAATTAAACCCTGGCTCCAAGGTGGTTCCCGTAGGTCTCAAAATAACCAGGATTCCCATGGTCTACTGGACGCCTTGAACGTGATCCTTTTGTCCTAAATCCATCCGTTCCAAAAAACTACAGCTGCTCCTCAATTTGTAATGATTCACTTAGCGACCGTTATAACGGCACTGGAAAAAAAGGCAACCGGTTTTTCAGGCTTACGACCGTTACGGCAGCCCCCGGCGATCCGAAATTCAGACGCTTGGCAACTTGACTCGTATTTAGGACGGTTGCAGTGTGTGTGTGTGTGTGTGTGTGTGTGTGTGTGTGTGTGTGTGTGTGTGATGTGATCCCCTTTGACAACCTTCAGACGTGCAAAGTCAATGGGGGAAGTCAGGTTACGAACGGATGGGTCAACAGGCCAAGCACCTCGCAGAATTGCGCCGGGGGGGGGAGCGGGCTCCCTGTTTCAAACTTTGGGCTGGCTGTGGATTATGGAGGGTGGCTGGGCCAGGGGAAAAGAGGGAAGCTGTCTGGGGCAAAGAGACAATTGAGATAACACAAGCGATGGGAATCAAAGCCTCCAAAACCATCTCAGGTGCTTCCGTCTGCAGGTGGGGGATAGGTAGGGAGAAGGATGGGGGGGGGGTAAGGAGGAGATGGGTCCAGGGCATCCCCGACCCAGCCAAGGTGGACTCACCACCACGCCGACGGTTCCAAGCTCCAGGGTCTTTCCGCTCTTCAACAGGTCATGCAGACACAAACACAACACAAACACAACACAGCATATGCCCCGAGGGGCTCACAGCACAGTACTGGCATTCCTGTTGCGGGAAATTCTGAGATATTAAGATCTTTGGATGCGTGTTTCTCAAGGTGGACTTCAACTCCCAGAATCCCCCAGCCAGCCTGATTTAAGAAGGGTGGACTTCAACTCCCAGAATTCCCCAGCTAGCATGCTTTAAGACATGTGGACTTCAGCTCCCAGAATTCCCCATCCAGCTTAATTTAAAATTGGTGGACTTCAACTCCCAGAATTCACCAGCCATCCCTGCTGGCTGGGGAATTCTGGGAGTCAAAATTCACCCATCGTAAAGTTGCCAAAGTTGAGACACACTAATCTACAGGGACTTACAATCCTGTGCAAAGCAGTCTGAAACTATATTGGCAACAACTGGCACACCTGCCATTTACAAGTCACCCTTGTTTAGCAACCAAAATGGGAGCCAACGACACAGCCGTTAAACGAGGCAGTCCCTAAGTAGCACCTCGACCGTATTTTGTTTCGCTTTACAGACCTGCCAAGGTCGTCATTGTGAGAACTGATTGCAAAGTTACTTTTTTGGGGAATACATGAAAAGATCCAATTTTGTCGTAGCTGGAAGGAAGAATTTTTTCTGCCTCCCAAAGCAGGCCAGTCTCAAAAAAATCAGCTTTCTACGCACCTTTAATAAAAATGAGGTCTGTAAGCAGCTTTATTTCTCGGCTCACGTCCACCTGGAATTGGCTGAAGGAGGCGCTGGCCGCTGGCCGGAACGCCTGGAGGGAATCGGTCGCTCTGAGGATCCTGTCGCAGGACGGAGCAAACAAGACAGAAGCAGAGAGAATCAGATAAGGGGAGAAAAAAAAACCTCTGAGCATAGATCAACCACCACCGCTTCCTTGATTGCAACGGACATAAACGTGCATATATATTAAAGAGAATAATAGAATAATAACAAAATATTCTGAAATTTGGATGTTCCTTGACCCTAGTGCTGATTACTTAGGAAAATATATTTTCTCTCTTCTCTGTGGCTCTTGCTTAATTTACTCCTGCTAGAGCAGGTACAGCCAGCGGTGTGTCTACCAGGGATACTTGCAGATGGGAGGGAAGGAAAAAAGAAAGAAAGAAAGAAAGAAAGAAAGAAAGAAAGAAAGAAAGAAAGAAAGAAAGGGAGAGAGAGAGAGAGAGAGAGAGAGAGAGAGAGAGAGAAAGAAAGAAAGAAAGAAAGAAAGAAAGAAAGAAAGAAAGAAAGAGGGAGGGAAGGAGGGAGGGAGGGAGGGAGGGAAGAAGGAAGGAAGGAAGGAAGGAAGGAAGGAAGGAAGGAAGGAAATAAAAATGACAAAGAAGGGAGGGAGAGAGGGAAGTAAGGAAGGAAGGAAGGAAGGAAGGAAGGAAGGAAAGAAAGCAGAATTACAGAGTAACAGGATTGGAAGGGACCTTGGAGGTCTTCTAGTCCAACCCCCTGCTCAGGCAGGAAACTCATCAAACTCAGGTCTGCCTCGACTTACAACAGCCATGAGGGACAGTGGAATCAGATGGTCGTTAAGCGAATCACAGCGTCGTTCCGTGAATCCAGCCAATGAGTATTTTTGGGTTTGGCCTGTTTTTCAGAGAAACGCACCTGTGATGCAGCTGCTTGGCGGCCTGGACAAAACACGGCTGGTCCGTTTCCTTCAAGATCTCCTGGGAGTAGCCCACCATGCCCGAATTCTCCAGCATGGCCTGGTGTTCCTGCAGCTGGCCTTGCAGGCGAGCGACCCGGTCTTGGCGACAATTTTCAATAGCGTTAAGCAGAGCGGCTCGCTTCTCGTCCACCAGGCTGCTCAAATTGTTCATCAGCCGATTGACCTCTTCCTTGGCCTGGGTGCCGTTCACCTGCAAGACAAGGGCCGATTATGAGACAAGCCAGGTGCCACCACGGAGGGCCTTCCTCCCTCCCTCCCTCCCTCTGCGCCAGCATTTTGCTCCTAAAATGTCAGAATAGAATAGAATCAACAGAGCTGGAAGGGACTGTGGAGGTCTTCTAGTCCAACCCTCTGCTCAAGCAGGAAAATTCTACACAGGTCCCTTCCAACATCATCATCATTATTATTATTATTGATCATCGCACAGTCAGCCAGATGTTCAGACTGGATTTGGCATTTTGTCTACCTATCGAGTCCTTACCCAGGACCTGGGATAGGCAGATGTGGATGTTTGATGGTATTATTATTATTATTATTATTATTATTATTATTATTATTATTATTATTAGGCTCGAGAGAACACAAATTTGTACAACGTCATACTGTATTTGCTTTGGGGACAAATTTGTTAAACCTCTTCGTTCTCCTGAATTACAACCCATTATTTTACAGACAAAGGATGGGGAAGCAGGGAAGGAAGTGCCAAATTGGTGTCCCCAATTTTTCTCATTGTTTGGGCCTGGCGTCAACCTCAACAGAAGAACGACAAAAGTAACATTACCTCCGCAAGCCGAAGAGTCTCTTCCAATTCGTTGATTTGAGCCTGAACTGTGTCTTGATTGCTCAGGATATAAGCTATGCTTTTGGTCAGCTTTTCCTGGGAGCGAGAAAAATACGGTGAAGCAACGGGGCGGAGGGTGCGATCCTACAGGGCCCCGATCATTGTCAGTCGCTAAAACCCAAGAAAGATCCCTTTGTGATTCTTCCAAGGAGGTTTATTTATTGTTCCTCACCCAAAGACAGAATCTTGACAGACTAAAGCACGCTAACATACTGATAAAAGCCCATTTTCTGGGAACTGTTGAGGAGGAGCTGTCTTCGCCCTCTCTCTCATACACTAACTCTCTGAACGGAGTCGTTTTTTTGCTCCTCTGGAATTCAATCCCTCTCTTGAGAACCATCTCAAGATCCTCATTTGGCAAAATATAATTATATTTTGCGTCAAAGTCAATGACTTGCAAAGAAAAAAACGGGAGATTTGTCTATTTTATCACAGAGGAAATTTTCGTTTTCGTTGCCCAGAAAAACAGGAGATGTGTTCCCATAATCCACTCCAGGCCTCAAAGACCATCCTGAGTGCAGTATGAACCCCGAGCAGCTTTCCTTCCTAAAGTCATCAAGCCAAGATGGTTTTTATTTTTTTATTTTTATTTTTAAATTGTGTTTCTCCTTGGTTGGCCAATCAACTTCAAGGGCTTGGAGATGGGAAAGAAAAAAGAAAAGAAACGGACAACTTTCTAAAAAAATCTCACCTTGAGTGCCTGGTAGGCGCTGAGCACAGGTGTGATTTTATGACTTGTGTGCGTGCGACGAACTCGGCACAACTGGCACACCAAACGCTGGCAGGTTTTGCAATAATGCGTCACCTCTTCCCGGTGTTCGGGGCACATCAGACCCTGCAGAGGAGACAAAAACAAAGCCGGCTGGAGCGCTTCGCAACCAGGACGGACCCACAACGTGCGCAGGGGAAGATCAGGGGGCAAAAAAAAGGAAGCCAGTTATCACAGGGAGTCCTCGTTTAGCGACTGCGCTCTACGGCAATCGGCGGAAGCTACAACACAGATGAAAATTTGGCGACCAGTCCTCGCGTTTGTGACCTTCGCGGGTCTGCGAAGCAAAGGGAAACGGGAGGAAGATTGTCCGTTGTGCTTTCCCTTCTCTGGTTGCGGTCACTAAATGAGGAGGCCTGTATGATCTTACTGCTTTGAGCTCCCGAGCACAAGATAGGATAAGAATCTAAGAAATAAAAACATGAAGGTGGTCTTCAAATCCAAGAGATGAAATCATGAATGTAGTCTTCAAATCTAAGAAACGAAAACACGAACGTTTCCTTCCAAACCAAGAAACAAAAACGGAAGACAGTTGGAAGGGACCTTGGAGGTCATCTAGTCTTCAGTTAAAGAAATTAGGGGGCACCTTTTGAGCCCTGGAAAGGAAGAGGGGAGCCTTACTTTGGGACGGAAGGTGAGAGTCGGAGGGATGGGTTCGTGCTGGGCTTTCTGCGTCCCCCACGGGTGATAAAGTTTGAAGCACTCGTTGCAAAAGCTGGATCGGCACTCGGTACAGCCCTTGGTGGCCTCCAGCTGCGGCGGCTTGCAGAACTGGCACATGATGGCCGCGTTGACGTTGATGGTGTGGCGGTAACGCTCCACCACCCGCTCCAGAGTCAAGTTCCGGAAGAGACTGGCCAAACCTCGCTCGCCCAGGTCCACGTCTCGCTGGCACAGCGGGCACGGAAAGAGGACGCTCTGGGGGTGCAAGACGCCCCCTCGTTTCCGGCCGGGATATGTGCCAAAACCTGGCCGGAAGGAGAGACATGGGGGACATCATTACAAAGGAGAAATAAATTCTTAATGTTATTTCGGAGAGAGAGAGAGAAAAAAGGAGAGCTGCCATAGGCAGGAGCAGTCTATCTCTAAGTATACCCGGATGGAAAGATTTGTTCTCTCTCTCAAAAGCTCTGCCTTTTCTTGCTGGTTCTGGGATTCCTGTCCGAACCGGGATTGTCTGCCCTCAAGAGGGTGTTGACCCTCCGCAACTATTATAAAGCCCAGTCCTCTACTTACGACAGTCTGCTTAGTGACCGTTTGAAGTTAGAACGGCACTGGGGGGAAAAAGTGACTCAGGAACCGTTTTTCACGCTTACGACACGGCAGCATCCCCGGGGTCAAAATTCAGACGCTCGGCAACCGACTCGTATTTATGACGGTCGCCGTGTCCCCGGGATCCCGCTTTGGCGTCCTTCAGGCCCGCAAAAATCAACGGGGGAGACCAGATTGTGACTGACTTGACCGTAGCAGTTGATTCGTTTAACCACCGCAGCAAAGCGGGGCAAAACTCACTGCACGGCCGTCTCGCTTAGCGATGGAAATTTTGGCCCGAAAGATCCAATCACCCAAAATCTCAAACAGATACCTGATTTCAGGAGCCGATCCAGGCGCTCCGGTTTTGGCACGATCCGGCGTCCTAAGCGTGGACTCCGCGTGACTGGCGTGGACGCCGGAGATGTGGGCTCCGAGTTCGGGTCCGGACAGATGTAACCCTGCTGGAGCAGGACTTCGGTGGCGCAAATGTGGCAAACGCTGTGCATGCACGGCAAAACCAGGGGCTGCTTATACATCTCTTTGCAAAGCGGACACAGCAGTTCCCTCTCCATGTTTTTCATGCTGGTCTGCAGAAAAGGAGAAGGGAAAAAACAAAAAAAGGAAGGGGGAGGAAGGGGGGGAATGAGGGAGAAGCCAGGTTGGAAAAACAAAACAACAACGCGAAAGCCGTTTCTGCAAATAACGGTCTATTTTGGCCACCTCGTCACGAGATCGGATCGGCCGTCGGGGATCTTTGTCCATGTTATTCCACCTTTATTATTTATTACGAGGAACTCAAGGTGGTTAACTTATTCAACACGCCCTCCTCCTCCTCCTCCTCCTTCTGTTTTCCCCAAAACAACGATCTTGTGAGGTGGGTTGGGCTGAGACTTATTTGCTGAAGTTCATCCAGCTGGCTTTCACAGCTAAGGTGGGACTAGAATTCACCGTCTCCTGTTGATTGACCCAAAGTTGCCTAAATGGCTTCCATGCCTAAGGCAGGACTAGAACTCGCCGTCTCCTGCTTTCTAGCCTTGTCCATTCAATTGACAACACATCAGCTACCGAGGACGATGGGGCTTGCAATCCAGAAGCCCCTCAGACATTGGCTGGAGCTGAATCCCCCCCCCATAAATCTAACAAAATAATCAAGACTCCATCCTGGCTTGCTAAGAATAACCCCGGCCTGTTTTACAGCTCAAGAGAGTGTTTCTGAGGCTCGCAGCCAATCAATCAGAAAAAAAGAGAGATTTCCCCCCCCCCATAAAAGAACTTGGCCAGCCAAGAAGCCTCAGCAGAACTCCTAAGCCAGGCAGTCTTAGGAGAACTTCCCTGTCCAGGGGCAATCTATCTGCAAAACCAGGTTCAGATGGATTCCAGCTTGAGCAGAATGAGAGAGAGAGAGAGATTCCCCCCCCCCAAAGATCTAAAAATGATTTTCTCCTTGCTCCCACCTGGGATCTGTCTAGGATTAGGGGCTCTTTCTATGCCCGCTGACCCCAGTCTCTTAATTTCCCCCCATCGCCATGCATGGAAAGATCCCCCCCCCTTCCCAAGCAGTTTGGCTAACTGCCCGGTCTCTGCTGTCTGCCGTGAACCCTTCAAGGGCATCCATTCCTGGATCCTCCTGCCCTCCCCCCCAGGGTCTCCCCATGCTCAGCGCATCTGTAGCCACGTGAGACCCCCACCGACATGGACCCACTGCCCATCCGGTGCCAGGGGCTCCAAGTTTCCAACTGGAGCAAATTTCCCCCCATCCTATTTAGGTGGAAAAGGGCCGGCCAAGCCCCGCCCACTCCTCCGTGGCCCATCTTCCAAAGCCAGGCTGGGAAGCATGGGCGTCCCCTCTTGGATGGGGAAGGGGGAGGGTGGGGAAGGGGGTCTTACCTTGCCTGCCCTCTGCCGGGGTGCCATTTCCTTCCTTGACAACAGCAGGCGGGGGGGGGGGGGGGAAAGAGGACAAAGCCGGGAGGGAGGGAAGGAGCGAGGCTGGACCACGGCCTGGGAAGCAGGCGGGAGGAGGTTACCATGGCGACGGCGGCTGTGCTCGGATGCTCACAGCATCCTTGCTTTGCCCCGGAGGGAGAAGGAAGAAAAGCACCCAGGGAAAACGGGGAAAAAGGAGGGGGGCGGAATCAGGAGGTTGCCCACAGTTGGGGGGGGCCGCGGCCAACACCCACCTGGAGGGGGGGAGGACAAGTGGGGTTTTTTTGTTGTTTTTTTAAAGGGGAAGAAGCATCGCCCGCACTTTCGGAGACAATAGCGGAGGTGTTTCTCTCGCCCCCCTCCCCGCGCCGTAGGTACCCCAGAGCCCCCCCCCACCTTTCCACTCCACCCCTCCCCCATCCTGTCCTGTATGGCACAGAGGGATGGGGAGCATCCCCTTTCTGCGTGGCGGCAGCCGCCCCGGTTTTTGTGCAGCGTCCCCCCCCTCCCATCCACCCATTCATCCATCCTTCTATCCATCCGACACCACCCCTCCCCAGCCCCTTCTCACGCTTATCCGGACGAGGGCGTCCATGATCGAAGTAAAGGAGTGGAGGTCGTCGCCCTCGGCCATGTCTCCCGGGGATGTGGGACGGGGATGCTCCCAGTGTGTCCCCCCCTCCCCCTCCCGCACAGCGCCTGCGAACGCCTCGGTCTATTGCAGCTGGGACTGAGCGGTGGGGGGGGAGGATGGGAGGAAGGGGGAGTGCGCATGCTCGGGGGAAACTCAACCCAACAGGGCTCCCCCCGCCCAGCCACCCCCACCTTAAGGAGGGGGGAAATGCTTTGCATGGGGGTCTGCATCGCGGTTGCTGGAAGCGGATGAGCCCTGGGGATTTGCAAGTGACCAGGGGATGGGGGGGGGTCACCCAAGCCGGGGTTCTGCATCAGGGTGAGCCCCGGGAGCCGTCTGCACAAGATCAGAGGCTGTCTTGCCCAGCTGGGCATGCCGAGCCCCGGTGGAAAGGGCGCCTCTGAGCCTACGCAGAGTGCCTCTCCGCTTCTGCAGGGCAGAGGGGGAAGACGAGCTTGCAAATGATTGCAAAAGCGATTCCTATAATTTTTTTTTATCATTTCCCCCCCCCCCCCAATCTTTGCCAAAGCGAGGGGCGGATCTCGAACCCGCGAAAGGATTTCACGCTTCGCTTTGTTCGAAGCCTCGGGCAAGGGAGAGGCTTGCGGCTGCGCGCGCCCCCTAGCGGCGGGCCGGTGAAAAAGGCACTCCCGCCTATTGACGAGGCAAGGCTATGACTGCGCATGTACCAAGGCGCTCACTCGGTCTCCTTTTGTGCGCAGGCGCGGAAAGAAAAAGTACACGTCGGCGCTCAGCCCCGCGCGTGCGCACTGAGGAGCTTCGGCGTGGTTGGAAGAGGCTCTTCTCGGCGGCGCATGCGCACGGCAGGCAGACGCTCTGGTTCAAACGGAGGAGGGCTCGTTGGCTCGGCGGACGGAACGGGGGCGTCGCGCTGCGCATTATGGGTAACGTGGTCTCTGGGAAGGGAGAGATGGGCATCGGATCCCCCCCCCACAAGGGCATCCTGGGTAATGTGGCACGGTGGGTAAGGCAAGACAAATGAGAGGCCAGTTCATTACACAGAATCCCCCCAAACTGTGTTGGACTACAAGACCCATCGTTCCCAAACAGCTTCCCTGGGCATAAACACTACTTGTGTCATTGTGTGTTTGCTCTCATACTAAAGAGCACAAGGGAATTATGGGCACAAGGGAATTATGGGTAAAAAGGGGCATTGTGGAGGGAATTATGGGTAAAGGGCATTATAGATGGAGAGAATTAAAGGTAAAGAAGCATAGATGGAGGGAATTATGGGTAAAGGGCATTATAGATGGAACTATGGGTAAAAGGGCATTGTGGATGGAGGGAATTATGGGTAAAGAGGCATTGTGGATGGAGGGAATTATGGATACAGGCATTGTGGATGGAATTATAGGTAAAGAAGCATTATAGATGGAGGGAATTACGGGTAAAGGAGCATTATAGATGGAATTATGGGTAAAGGAGCATTATAGATGGAGGGAATTATAGGTAAAGAAGCATTATAGATGGAGGGAATTATGGGTAAAGGGCATTATAGATGGAGAGGATTATGGGCAAAGGAGCATTGTGGGCAGAAGTCCATTGTGACTTTCACAAATAGAAGACTTAACATTTAAACGTATCTTAGCATTTTCCAAGTTGTACATGTTATATTTCTGACCTGTTTTGCTGAAGGTCGAACGAACCCCGCTTTACGCCCAGGAACGGCCTTGCTAAGCTTCCTTCTACATCCCGCCTTCATCCTTTTTACAAACCATTTCCCGTCTGCCAGGCGCTCCGGCAAAGCTGCCTCCCACCCACCAGCCTGACCCCAGGATGCAAGAATCCCCCCCTCCTCCTGCAGCAGCTTTCCAACCCTGGATAAGCCAGGAGGCATTCCTCAAACAAACCATCATTGGCTGGAACTTGCCCCCCTCCAGGGAGCAAATCAAGGAGCCCCCCCTGACCCTTTTGGGACCCTCTGCTGATGACCGCATCGTCTCGCCGGCCACCGTGACCGTCTCTCTCTCTCTCTCTCTCTCTCTTTCCAGCCGTCAGCACGGGAATATCGCTGGTCCTTTCCGCCCTCTTATCCTTGCTGCTGTTCACCGGGATGCAGATGTACAGCCGCCACCTGGCCTCCAGCGAATGGCTGACCATCCAAGGGGGTCTTTTGGGTTCTGCCCTCTTCATTTTTTCCTTAACTGTATCCTTCCGGGCCCTGTGTGTGCTTGGGCACATCTGTGTGTGTTTGTCTCCCCCAAGGGAGACGGCTGAAATAAAAACAGGCCTTTCCAAACTTTTCCCAAGGATGGGGAGGGGCAGAGGTGAACATCTGGGTTAAGATGATTGCAAAATAGGCCCTGCCTTTCCTACGGTTGTCGTCCTTGACCCCCTGGACCCACGCAAGGCCTTCAACAACCTCGAAAGCCTGATTTTTGGCAAAGGGTTCCAGGCAAAGATCTTTCCTGAAAGTGAGTCAAATGCAGACGGGGTGGGTGCTTTGGGGGAGCTGAATGGATTATCCTGATTTTTACCTGGATTTTGTTTTTTTTTTTTTGTTTTCCTCCCACACCATCTACAGTTATTTCCTGCCTCCTGCTGGCTCTGTTTGCATCAGGACTGATTCACCGTGTGTGTGTCACTACTTGGTAAGGACAGAGGTGGGCTGGGGGGGGGGGAGAGGCAGAGAGAGAGAGAAAGAGATTAAATTGGGGAGGGGGGTGAATTAAACTTTATAATGCCTTGGTAAGACCACACTTGGAAGACTGTGTCCAGTTTTGGAGGGCCGCGAGGCTAAAACATACGAGGAGCGGTTGCAGGAATTGGGTATATCTGGTTTAGTGAAAAGAAGGACTAGGGGGGACATGATAGCAATGTTCCAGTATTTGAGGGGCTGCCCCAAAGAAGAGGGAGTCAAGCTCTTCTCCAAAGCGCCAGAAGGCAGGAGAAGAAGCAACGGATAGAAACTAATTGAGGGAACCAAGAAGTAAGGAGGAATCTTTTGACAGTGAGAAAAATTGATCAGTGGAACAGCTTGCCACCAGAAATTGCTGCCTCACTAGAGATTTTTAAGAAGAGATTGGACAGCCATTTGTCTGGGGTTGGACTAGATGACCTCCAAGGTCCCTTCCAACTCTGTTATTCTGTTCTGTTCATCCAGACACGAATCCTCAATCCAAACAATTCTGGCTAAGGGGTGGTCTGGATTTCAGCGCCTCTGGGAAAGCGTCTGGCTTGAAGTCTGGAGAAAGAGATTTGTGCGTTTTGGAAGAGCAGCTGAATATTATCAGCATAGCTTAACTATGACGGGGGAGTCTAAAAAAGGCAGGGGGGGGGAACTTGGCCCACCTCTAAGGCAATTAAAGGAGTTTAAAAGAATCCCACCTGGATAAGGAATGTGAGCCAAAGAAAAATCCTAGTTTAAAAAAAAACAAAAAACTTTGAAAGGCCTTGTTGGGAGGAAGAGATGGAGGGAGAGAAAGGAGAAAGATAAGCAGAGGAAGAAAGGAAGGAAGGGAAGGAAATTGGAGAAGGAGGGAGGGAGGGATAGATAGGTAGATGGGAAAGGAAAGGAAGGAGAAGAAAGATAAGAGGAAGGAAGGAAGGAAGGGAAAGAAAAAGAGAAAGAAGTAGAGGAAGGAGAAAAAACGGAAGGAAGAAAAGAGGAAGGGAAGCAGATAAGGAAAGGAAACAAGGGAAGAGAGGAAGGATGGGAGGGGAGGGGAAGGAAGAAGAAGAAAGAAAAAATAGAAGGAAAGGGAGAGAAAAAGTAGAGGAAGGAAGGACAAAGAAAAAAGACAAGGAAGAAAAGCAGATAACATTAGGAAACAAGCGGAAGGAAGGAAGGAAGGAAGGAAGGAAGGAAGGAAGGACAGATATCTATCTATCTATCCACCTTCTGCCCACCCTCCTCTTAATCAAATGGTCTTTTGTCCCTGGATGCTGATAATAGCAATAAATCCCTTTTAATTTTCAAGCGGTCCTTGGCCTGTGTGTGGCTGCAGGGAACAATCCTAACCTGAGCATCTTCGCTGTTCTCTCTCCCCCTGCAGCTTGATCTTCTCCCTGATCGCCCTCTACTACATCCAGAAGATCTCCTCCACCCTCTACCAAATGGCCACCCCCGTCTCCGTGCCCGCCAAGACGGTCAGCAAGAGCCGGAAGAGGAATTGACAATGGGACATTCGCCCCCTCGCCCTCCAAGGGGCACAAATACGCCCTCGATAAAATTCAATAAACCTCTTTTTTTTATAGCGAAAACAGCAACCAGAGTGGTGGTTTTTTTTTTTACAACTTTGAGTCGTCTTGCCTTCTTATTGCCAGCTTTTCGTGAGCGCTTTGCAAAATTTAGTAGATTTCCCAAGTGTTTATCTTATTTATCATCTGCAATTGGGCAGTGACTCCATAGAAGATGGAAAATTAGAAATCACGATTAGACTATGACGATACTTGGGACGAAGTATCCTATTTTTTATACATTATATTTATCTCCTGGCCTCTCAAGATGGTGTGTGTGTTTGTATGCGTGTGTGTGTGTCCCCTGATTTTTCCCCCTATTCATTGTAGGCTTGATGGAGAGAGAAAGGAACTGGCCCAAATCCATTCATTTGGAGAGCCTCTAGATCAGGGATCTGCAAACTTGGCAACTGTTAAGAGTTGGGGACTTCAAGTCCCAGAATTCCTCAGCCAGGATTTTGGGAACTGAAGTCCA